ATGTTAAAAACATAGTAGTGGGAATGCAACTTATTTCAGAAAGGCTCTGTAATCCAGATTTATTTTTGAAGCTGACAGTAGCCTCCACGTATGTGTCTATTTCCACCACTCTGCCAATGACAACCTTCCAGCTCTGAGATAGCAGCAAAGCTGGAAGTAACCACAGGACAGGATAGGATACCATATTTGTATTGCCTAAATAACATGTCTGTTCAGTGGCGTAGCGTGGGGGGGTGCAGGGGGGGCCGGCTGCACCGGGCGCAACATCTGGGGGTTAGGGTTAGGGGGCGCAAATCCACAGGTTAGGGGCCGCAAATTACTTGCCTTGCCCCGGGTGCTGACAACCCACGCTACGCCACTGTGTCTGTTGAGGACATGGCAATTAACAGCTGCAATTTCCAGGCATTTCTGAGCTTGACTGAACATGGAAAGCCCTTAGCACAACATTTTTGAAAAAAATAATTTACTATAACGCTTGCTTGACATGGGTCCCATGGCTGAACTCCTCATAAATTTTCTCATTCAGTCATCAACCCTGCAAGATAAGCTCCTGTTATTTCTCCCGTATTACAGAAGGCAGGCTGATGCTAAGAGATAGAATTTTCCAAAAGCCACCCAGTGAGTTTCATGGCCAAAGGCCAACCTAGATGTGATGTTAAATGTGTCTTTGCATTAACATGCGGTATTTCTTTTTCACACAAATAAGAGATGCAGGGAGCAGGGAGGGTTCTGATAATTATCAGGACTGCAGCAGGTGCAGAGGGAGAGTTTAACCCTTTCATCCCCTACTGTAGTTTTGACACAAATCACTCCTCCCTGGCTCATCAGTACTGTACTCTGCTTCGTACAGGTTTGTAACTGAAATACCTTTCTGTGGTTACCTATGCTGCACATAATGTTGACTTGATAAAATAAAAACAGAAAAATACCAGATAAAAGCAGCTCTTGCAATGGAAAAAAAGCAACTTTGGCCCTAAGGGGAGATATGACCTAGGAGATTTCCTTTCCACTTTTATTCATTCAAGTGAACCAACCAACATATATCTATTAGCAGAGGTCAACAGAGTTTTGCTTCCAGTCTTATTATTCATATATCTACCATATATCTAGCCAAACAGAGTTTTGCTTCCAGTCTTGTTATTCATATATCCAACCAGGGCTCAAAATCTTTGAGAGATAAACCAGACCCTCCAAGTGTCCCTATTTTCCAGGAACGTCCCTGATTTAGAGAACCTTTCCTGGTTTTTGATCTGATCCCAGAATGTCCCACTTTTCCTTAGGAGGTCCCTATTTTCATGGAAGAAATGTTGGAGGATATGGAGTTATCAGACCCCCGAGCCATCTGAAGGCAATCCTGTACAGAGATTTTTTTAAAGTGTTTAATGTTTTGTTATGTTTTTATATATGTTGGAAGCTGCCCATAGTGGCTGGGGTATAAATAGTAAAATTATCTTTATGGAATGGGACGTCCCTATTTTCATTGGAGAAATGTTGGATGGTATGGATAAACTATTGCATGGTTGTACTATCATGAAATTCAGGCCTTTGTGTATTGCCTTGGCATTTCTCTATTGATGCACGGAAAGTAATTAGGAGATTTTCTCCTACTATGGTAACACCACCACAGTTTAATACATTTAATAGTATTCATTGTTAGGGAAGTGAGCCAAATGTTGAGTGGTAGCAAAACGTCCATCATTATGACAAACAGAAACATGTAGTCAGTGTATGAGCAGAATGCATATGCATTGAATGGTTGATGGAGAGTGGATCACTCTGTGTCAGGAAGGTAGACAGCTGAAGCAGGAGATCCACTGTATAAGCACATATGTTCTCCTTCTGATGATTCCTCAGAAAAGGAGGCAACTCAGAATGAGGGCGATGCTTTCTGCTCTCACTCTGAATGACTTTTGTGACCTCATAATGTAGTCAAATTGCTATACTGCTAATGGTGTTTATCCATCAGAATTAGGTCACAAAGCATTGTCCTCCCTCTGGATTGGCTTTGTAGTATTGGCTTCTTGGCATCATGATGTTCATACATATTTTATCCCCTCAAGCCCCACCTTATGGTTGAACAGGAATGAATAGCAGTCACACGCATATTAAAGGAACACAGAAGCAGGGTACAAAAACTTATCCCTGTCATCCCCAATGATTAATAGTCAAGCCTGCTCTTGCTGCATGGCCTAATCCTAGGATCTGCATCTTAGTTATGCAAGAGTATGATGGAAAGTTGAGTGGGAGGTAATGTCAGGAACTGGCTTTTATCTTAAATATATATTTGCAAATTGGGAGCCCATGGGTATTCACAGCAAGAGACACACTTTTGGTAAATCTTTCCTACATAATGTAGTCACCGTATTTTTCGCTCTATAGGACAACCCGACCATAAGATGCACCTAGTGCAAGAGGGGGAGAACAAGAAAAGAAAAAAAAAATCTTTCCCTCTCTGCACAGCGCCCCTTCAGTGAAGCGGCAGGAGAAACGGAACCCCTTCCATTTCTCCTCCCGCTTCGCTGAAGGGGTGCTGTGCAGAGAGGGAAAGCAATGCGAAGCCTCCGGAGCGCAGCGGAGCGCTCCAGAGGCTTTGGGTGGCTATCCCTGAAGCCAGGAGAGTTTGCTCTCCAGGCTTCAGCGAAAGCAATGTGAAGCCTCCGGAGCTTTGCATTGCTTTCGCTGAAGCCATGGAGCCTGCATTCACTCCATAAGATGCACATACATTTCCCCTTAATTTTTGGAGGGGGAAAAGTGCGTCTTATAGAGCGAAAAATATGGTGCATGAGATTGTTGAGTTTTGAGGCCAGAAAGTTGGTTCCTGTACACCTAACTCTGAACAGTAGCACTTATAACATGAGTCCAAAACCTAGATAGTACATTCGTATGGTGGGAGATGGAGGTGGGAATACAGGTCAGAGGATGTATTCCTCATGGTAGAGATGCGCTTCAAATGACCATCATTTCATACTTGATTTTCAGTTATTTGAAGCTGCCAGAGTTTTGGCCCACTGCAGCTTTCAAAAGGCCAGAGAGGGGTGATTAAACTAGCACCAGATGAAGCATTGTTCCACCTATTCCAATTAAAAGTAAATTTCTTCCCAAAAGATTTCCTTACTTCGGAGTGTCAGAGACCTTAAAGGCTTATATCATCTTGAACTGGAGGGGATATGATCAAGGGTTCCATACTTCCATTAACCCTAATTATACTGCCAGGATACAATAAGATGACTGTATGGAAGGGCAGAGCATCCTCTTTCCAAACCATATTATAAAACTGTTCCATCCTGTTTCTCCATTAATCTCTCGCTCGTTTGCTTGCTCGCTCTGTGTGTGTATCCATATAAAAATTTGTATTCAGATACAAGGATTTATTGGAAAATAAAACCCCAAGGTGGTTGTCACAGATTGAAGCGAAAGCTCTGAAAAGGCTCAATATGGAGGCCAAATGGCCGAAATATTGGGAAATTTTGGAACAAGAAGGAGACAAATGGAAATTGCAGAGTTTCGAGAAACTAAAAAACAAAGTGAGAGACTGGCTTCATTATTATCAGATAATGGAGGCATATAAGTTGGATAAGAAAATTGGCTTCCAGGTGGAAAAATCAAAACTAGAAACAGAACTGTTAGAACCCAAAACTAAGAATTTGTCAAGAATGTATAACTTGCTGTTGAAATGGAATACTCAGGATGAAACGGTGAAATCTGCTATGATTAAATGGGCACAAGATGTTGGACATAATATTATGTTTGCTGACTGGGAACAGTTATGGACCACAGGTATGAAGTTTACAGCATGTAATGCCCTAAGAGAGAATATTATGAAAATGATATACAGGTGGTACATGACCCCAGTCAAGCTTGCAAAAATCTATCATTTGCCCGACAATAAATGCTGGAAATGTAAAGAAACTGAAGGTACATTCTTTCACCTTTGGTGGACGTGCCCAAGGATTAAGGCTTTCTGGGAAATGATATATAATGAACTGGAAAAGGTATTTAAATATACCTTCCCGAAGAAACCAGAGGCCTTTCTTCTGGGCATTGTCAGCCAATTGGTGCCAAAGAAGGACAGAACTTTTTTTATGTATGCTACAACAGCAGCAAGAATACTCATTGCAAAGTATTGGAAGACACAAGATCTACCCACTTTGGAAGAATGGCAGATGAAGGTGATGGACTATATGGAATTGGCAGAAATGACTGGCAGAATCCGAGACCAGGGAGAAGAGTCGGTGGAAGAAGATTGGAAGAAATTTAAAGACTATTTACAGAAATATTGTAAAATTAATGAATGATAGAATGATGTTGGATAGTAATTAAGCGGTTTCCAGCTGTAATGCTCTAAGAGAATATGAAAAAGGGGTTATAAATGGGTTAAAATCTAATGGTAAGGATTTGCTGAACCAATAAATTGAAGTGGAATACAAAAAGGGAGGTACGAGGAGGTCCGGGAAACAAGCTAAAGGAAAATAAGTAACTGAAAATATGTGTGTTTTTAACTGTTTTTATTTTGTATTTTTCTTTTTTCTTTTTCATTTTCACTGTAATATTTCAAAAAACCTTAATAAATATCTTATAAAAAAAGAAAGAAAATTTGTATTCAAACAGATGTTTCATCCACAGTTAATTTCATATTTTATCACTGTATATATATTATACAGTATATATATTGTACATATTTGTATTTCCTTAATGTACTTTATCCCAAAATACACATTTTTCAATGCATGTATTGAAGGACGTGAAAATTAAGGTCAGTTCTCTTAAAAAATATGGACCAAACAAAACCTTCCTCCACTTCTAGTTGTTAAAGAGGCTGATCAAGCCAAAACTCCTGCCCAGCTGCCTCCAACAAACTTTACCTCCTGGAGGGCAAGGACCCTTCTCAGCCCTCATCTGGCCTTTTCTCATTTAAAACAAAAAACAAAAACTTTTTGCATACCTGGGATTGCATCCAGTGAACGTACAAGCAGAAGGCAGATTGCAAAACCAACCTTTCCCTTCGTGTTCACCCTCTTGCTTCCCTCTGTATCCCCCAGAAAAGTCTCTCTGGAGGGTTGCTGCCGTTCCAGAAGATCTTTCTGTCCTATTTCAGGAGATTCCTTCCTTGCACTGCAGCCCACTGCATTGTTCAGGATGCAGGACCAACATGACCCTCTGGAAAGGCTTCTGAGGGTGTGTCCTGCAGAGTGAGAAGAGTGGGCGAAGATTGGCTGGGCAAGCTGACTCTCACTTCTGCAACTGCTGGATACAATCATATTTTTGCAACCCTTCGGTACAACAAGCAGAAGACCAACAAGAGACCCCTTGATGCAGAGATCCCCTTGACCTGAGCCTCCTGTTTTAATTGCTCTTCTCTTTTAATGTGATTCTGTTATGTTATAGTTCACTTATGAACACTTGTAATTTAAAATTTAAATGGGGTTGTTTTATATCATATCATAATTACAGTGCATTTTTAATTAGTATGTATTTTAATAATGTTGTGCAATTGAGAGTTTTAAAATATATATATTGTAAACCACTTAGTCACCCGCTAGGCATTAAGTGGTGTATATATAATAATCAATAATAAAAATTATTGCATAGCTCTTTTTTGCCATCCTGCTGGAAGGTACAGGGTGACCAAGTTGGCTGTTAGGGATCATAACTTAGAACCCAACATATAATATGAATGCCCACTCCCTGCTACACTTTGTAAAAGGATGGGGCATATTTCTTCATCAATAATTTATTTCAGTACCCTCCGAAAAGTACTTACAGCTCTATTGTGCAGTGTTACCCTGTTGATATACTCCTCCTCCAGGCCAAGGGCCTCACATCTTTGTAAGTTGCAGAGTGGCTGTCAAACAAATTACAGCAAAGTGGTTCTTATCAGGCTCTTGGTGGATTTTAACAGGCATGCAACGCCATCTGACCCATCTGATTTCCTTTTAATTTAAAAACGGAGCTTATTCTTCTCGTGCCAAATGTAAATAATTTCGCTTCCATTTCCCATCCAGAGAATCTGACTAGTTCAAAAGCATTTCAACAAATCTTATCTGCCTCATATCCTGCTGACTGGCACAGTCCTGGACTTCAGCCTGAAAGCCAAAAATGTTTTGGCTCCAAGACGCAATAGGAAAGAAACAACAAAGAAAACTGGGGAAAGTCTTAGTGACTTATAATGGAAGTGCTGAAAACTGTAGGGATTGTTATGTTTATTTGGTTTTTCATTGAAGTATTGTGGGCTGCCATTTTCTATTAATTTTTTTCCAGGAAATCTTTTTGGAGGATTGCACAACAAAACTTTGCATTTATTTCATCAGCAGCATAGTTCGTTCTTCTAAAAGTGTATATATATTGGCCTCTATTCGCTTCTTCGTTCCTCCTTAATGAAGTGGTTTTCCAAGTTTTCTGCCCGGAGGGAAAACTTTCCACCCTGACACATCTGCCTGTTGGAGCTCACTGCTGTCTTGTGTAAGCTGAAAGTGGGATCTAGAACTCATCCAACATTTGGAAGGAAAGATCAGTGACAGACATTCAAAAAGGCTTGTTCTCAGCTGTTGATCTTCTCTTTAAGGAACCCTTAATAAGCTTCTAAAAGTTGCCTAGAACATAATTTGAAAACACTGCTTCAATGCCAGAAGCTTTCTGGGCTGCAGAAGAATGTAGTTATTCTCCATAAGAGATGAAAGCCAGGGGAAAGTAAAGGATTTAGTATTCTCAAGCAGCTAAATGATCCAGCAGGAACAGTGCCGAGTTCATAAAATGTAGCACATTCTGGCTGTTATTGCTGGCCGGGAAGCTAATATGCTCATGTATAGCAAACAATGGCACAAAACAAAAAGTGTCTTTGATAGTACATTGATTCTTAAAGCAATACCTATGAATCATTGTATGAAGTCTGTGGAGGATATCCTGAATTTTAAAGTGTGCAAGCTTTATGGAAGGACGGAAAGGAAAACAAAATACCATAATTTGGAGAAGAAAAGCAGTCACTTACGGGTCACGTCCACACAATACATTTAAAGCACATGGCTTGTCCCTGAGACTCCAAGGAACTGTAGTTTAGCCCACACAGAGCTACAATTGTCAGCACCCTTAACAAAGTGCAGTTCCCAAGATTCTTTGGAGAAAGCCATATGTTTTCATAAAGGTAAAGGTAAAGGACCCCTGACAGTTAAGTCCAGTCACGAACGACTCTAGGGTTGTGGCGCTCATCTCGCTCTATAGGCCAAGGGAGCCGGCGTTTGTCCACAGACAGCTTCCAGGTCATGTGGCCAGCATGACTAAGCTGCTTCTGGCAAACTGGAGCAGCACATGGAAACACCATTTACCTTCTCACCGGAGCGGTACCTATTTATCTACTTGCACTTTTTGGCGTGCTTTCGAACTGCTAGGTTGGTGAGCTCACCAACAATGTCTGTACTTCTGTCTTAATGATTTACTGCCAAGTTTTTTTAAGCACACATATGCCTTTAGCTTCTGTGTACTTTATATTGTTCTTCTGTTTATTGTCCATATTCCCTAGAATCTTTCAGATGGAGTATAGTTTATTTATATATTAATAAATATAATCAGAGTGCCCAAGCCATGGTGAAAGAAGGGTTACAAATTAGGATGGAAAACTCACCACTGAATTAGCGTGGGTTAGGTTGGGTTAGGGACGCAGGTGGCGCTGTGGTCTAAACCACTGAGCCTCTTGGGCTTGCTGATCGGAAGGTTGGCAGTTCAAATCCCCATGACAGGGTGAGCTCCCGTTGCTCGGTCCCAGTTCTTGCCAACCTAGCAGTTTGAAAATATGCCAAAAAAGTGCAAGTAGATAAATAGGTACCACTCCAGCGGGAAGGTAAACGGCGTTTCCATGCGCTGCTCTGGTTTCGGTGTTCCGTTGCGCCAGAAGTGGCTTAGTCATGCTGGCCACAACCTGGAAAAACTGTCTGCGGACAAACACCGGCTCTCTTGACCTGTAAAGCAAGATGAGCGCAGCAACCCCAGAGTCATCTACAACTGGACTTAACTGTCAGGGGTCCTTTACCTTTTTAAGCAATTGCTAAGAAACATCTTGAATTAAGTCTGGTAGTGCCCAGAAAGCCTGTCAAGAATATTCAAGGTAAGTACTACACAATCCCATTTTGCTGTTGGTAGCCCCATTTTATGCTAGCTGCAGCTTCTAGACCGTTATCGAGGGTAGTCACACACAGTGCGCATTACAAAAATCGAAAGCAAGCCTAGGAAGAGCTGTAGCTAGAAATAGGCAATTGTTGACACCAAAGCCACCTGGGGCTCTAGTGTAAACTGTGAGTCAATTACTATGTACCTGTTCTGTTGGGGAAGTGCTACCTCATCCAAAACAGCCCACCTTCCCAGTTCCCAGAAAAGCCCATCTGCTGCAGAAGTGGCGTTCCTTCCATATCCGAAATATGACTGAATGCAAAACACATGCACAACATTTCCCCAGCATTCATAAAACTCTTGAGTACAAGCTCATTCCCCACAATCAGGTCTAACATATATGAATATGGGTTATCTATGACCTTCAAATAAATATATATATATTTGTGGCTGTTCTCCAAGAGCAGTTCCTCCAATCCATGCTCTTCCTGGCATGCTGACTGATGTTGTTTTTAGAGAGTCACAGAATTATTTCATTTTGTTTCAACAAACGTTCCCTATTATGCCTTTTCTAAATAAGCAGCTTCCTGTTACAGCCCTACAGCGCAGCATGCTTCCGACTATTTTGAAGAGCCTCAAAAGGAAAGGAAATATGTCAGGCTCTGAAGCAAGTCCCCTGTATTACGGAATAGATTTGAACAGGAGGACAAATACCATGACTCTCAACAATTATGTGCTGCAATGCTCATGATAGCAAACTGAACAACTTAGCTTTATAACTCCTCTAGTCATAAGACAAAAGTGCATGTGATTATTCAGGAATGGTCTAATAAACATTATTGGATTTTGAGTGCATAGTTTCACAGATACACAAGGGAACCATGAATGTTACCACCCTGGGCTTCTTTGGGAGAAAGGGCAGAATATGAATTCAGTAAATAATAATCAATAATACTATGGGAATTCTGGTTTCTAAAGACAGGTAACCATTCTCTGTGCATGCTCCCTTAAAAGTACAACCCTCTCCAGGCATTCTTAATTTGTATGTTTGGAGTGATGGAGGCTACCTGTGCTCCTAACCTTCCAGTGTTGAGTGAGGAAATCTAAAGAACTATACATGTTTGACTGAATGTGCTTACAATGCTTTCTGGCATAAGGAAACCCGATCCAGATCAACCATGCCCAAATGCCTGGCACAGGCCAAGTCCCCCCTCTCATTTTTTCACCCAGAATACCTTCTTTCCACACTGAATCTTTTCCCCCCAGTGTGGAATACATCATCCCAACCTTCGAAAGGAACTAAAAATTATCAGAAATAGTAGTAATTCACTGTTCTTGCCATTCACCATTTGATGATCTTCTCATACAATGATAGATGGGTACCCGCTCCTTGTGCTGAGACAGAAAATTGCCCCTTTACTTCTCATCCAAGAAGGGAGTCCATCCTTTGAAGGATTTTATTTCAAGAAAGTATGTTATAGGGAAGGAGAAGCCTGTGGGCACAGCGCCCTTCAAAACACAATAAACATAAACTCTTCAAGTGGGAATGTAAAATGTATTCTGCTGAAGCCTTTGGCCTTATCAACTGCAGCGTAGTATATAACAAGGTCATTAGTAACAAGCCCCACACAATGGAGAACATACATCAGCAGCAGAAAAGCAAACATTGGTCCAAAACATCACAATAACTTCCTGTACCTGTTCTTGTTTGCTTGCTGAGCTCTCAAACATTGTGAGTCTCTGAAATACATAAAAGCGTAACAGCTTGAGTCAATATTTGCTAACCAAAGTGAACGATTTTATTTAGCACGATGACTGGACCTACTGAACAAATACATTATCTTGTATGCCAGCATAACAAGCAGAGGCCAGCCTGCAAAAACAACCAGCGTTGTTGAGCCATTTACGGCATATGGTTGTATCTGGGAAAAGCTATTGACTGTTGCAAACTTACACACACCAGGAAGAGATAGAAACTTAACTGAATCATTTTCTGCTTCTGCTTATAGTTCTGTTAAAAGATTGTGGGGTGCCTGCACCCCCCTTCTAATTCTGAGGTGCCAGGCATTGAATTTAGCATGTTAAAATATAAACCATGTTTTGTTTTTGTTTTTAAAAGCCAGGCTTGCTTCCTGGTGAAGTAATTACCTGAAGAGACGCACCAGTAAAAGAGCTCAAAAGACAGAGTGATGGTCTGGCAAAGATTTCTGCCGGACACAGAGGGGTGGAGCTCTGCCCTGGGCTCTGGGTAGTTAGCAAAAGACAATGCAGAGTTGGGAGGGAGGAGTTTCAGAATTGCAGTGGGCTGATGCAAGCGAGAGAGAAATAGTTGTGTTTTTGCAAGCAGTTTACAAGCTGCAGGGAAGCAGAGTCAGAACACCATGGGGCCCGGCAATATTTGATCCAACATTGTAGCCATGAGAGAGAGAGGAAACCTGCTTTGAACCCCTCCACAGGTTGTATAATTTCACACCGCTTGGAGCCTGGGTTGACGTGTAATAGTTCCTTCTATGATAAAGTCAACCTGATGCTATATTACTCTAGTAGGGTTGCCATATGTCCTCTTTTTCCAGGACACGTCCTCTTTTTCATGGGTAGAGCCGTCATAGCAATTCATAGTTAAAAGTAAAAGTCGGCAAATGTGTCCTCTTTTTTGCTCTTCACAATATGGCAACCCTAGACAGGATTGCCATTGGTATTGCTTGCTTTTAAGTCCGTACGCACACTTTGGCCTTAAATTTCAAGTGATGCAACAGTTGGAAGGCCCCGCTCATATAAAATCATCTTCTTAAGTTTCCATCATATGCAACAAGTGGTTCAGAATATGGATGATCCAAGTGATTCATAAAGAAAATAACTGCTTTTTGAACATAGCCGGATGGGAGAAGGGGTTGATTTCAACAGAGAGAAAAATAATAACATACAGGAAATCAATGAGGAGGACCTGGGAAAGAGTAGCCATTCTTTTCCAGTGAAAGTAAGTCTGACCCACGGAGTCTTTTAGCCCTCCGGTGTAGATTTTCAGGGGACACTGACTGCAGGAGGAAATTAGAAATTGCTAAAAATTCATCCATGTACTCTATAAGTAGAATTTAAAACAATGGTCATACCTGATCTTATCTAAATGGATGTGGTTGCAGAAAGATGGATTGATGCCAATGTGGTTTTAAAAATTTCCAAGCATACAGACATTGTGTAAATATCAAGAAGATAAGCTTCCAGATGAAGGAGAACATTGGCGTATTTCATTTATGAATTCACAGTTCTAAATTTTGGCATGAGTACCAAAATTGTCAGTATTTAGAGGTATTCTAACAGCCATTTCCAAAACAGAATCTTTCCCTGTAAAATTCATTGGGAAGAAGCAACAACAGGAATGCAACTTGAAACTGTTGCAGGAACCCCACCCCCCGGCAATCATTCAGTTTGTACAAACACCACACACACACACACACACACACACACACACACACACGACATATGCAATGCTTCTGTTATAAATTCATAGAAAATCAGCAGTACATCGGATCTGTACCGTTCAACTTTTATTTTAGACCATGAAGGAAGGACTATCAAAGGGGGGAGACTAGACACAAGGCAGCCATAATCCCCAAGTGTACCAACACATTCGCAGCAAGCCCTACCCAGTTGGCATGCCAACCTTGATGGTCCTAGACAGAAGATCATTACACTCACAAAGCACCTGCATATGGAAGTGGATTCAGTACAGACTGAAACAAAGGACAGTGACCAGCCCTTCCCTCTGGGGGCAGGAAACAGTGAACTCCTCTTTGTCCTCAGGAATGTAATCATGGGGAGGGGGAAAGGAGGAACCGGACAGGTGACAAGACACTCAGGTTACCACCACAACTCCTCCCTGAACCCCTCCTCTTTGTGATGTGTCAATGATGTAGTCATGATGTAGTTATGATGTAGTCTTAGGGGGTGTAGCATGGGGGATTAGTAGCTAATAGAAGTAGGGGTCTTCTTTTGTTCAGGGCTTCCATCTTGTTCCACCTTGTGGCAGGTGGGAGTCCTGTCGCAACAGTCTTCAATAAAGACCAAGCCTACTGGCTGCTGTTTTGCTCTGGTATTCCTGGCTGGTGTCCTTGTTTTTTTGTCCAAGGGAGCCCTCAGATTTTTCCATTTACAAAACTACTGAATTACAATACATCAGGAGCGTCAATGGTGTGACTTGCAGATTGAACAAAGAATGCTTAGCACATTATATGTGTCAACAATGATATAATGCCAACAGAGAAGTTGTCTAACTTCTCCCATCATCCATGACCATTGGTGACATGGGGCGCATGGGAGCTGTGTTACTACCATGCTAGGTTCCTGTTCTGAATTGCTCCCCCAAAATTGCCATTTACCCTTTAAAAGCTATTTGCTCAACTAGCCATTGTGTGAAGGGTCAGCTTGTCTAGTCTGGCCCTACTCTCAGGCAAAATGAGGGGGGTGAAGTGCTGGAGAACAGAGCTATATGAGCTTCACAGCCTGCTATGTGCCATCTATGTAAGCCCACTGTCCTCAGGCATGGCGGAGGTTACTTTCCCACCACCAGTTTTGAAGTGAGATTCAATTAGCCCTCTCTTGATTTCTCTTATCTAAATAAGATACCTTTATACCTTTATAGGTATAAAATTATGGGATAAGATAAAGAAGATGAGCTTGGGCACACAGCTGTCTCCAGTGGTAGCCAGTGAAATGGTGTGACTTTCTCTTGCTTCATCTTCTTCTGTTTTTGTTGCCAGGGCTTTCCAGCCCACAACAAATATGGCTTAAGGTTTCAGCAACTTTCCAGTGAAAATCAGTGGTTCTGGATAGATATCCAGTAGCGAAATCTGTACAGGAGTGTTAGCTCAGCTTTGGACTTGTAGATTTGACCTCCTGAGTCCACTCTGCCTTGGTTTCAGTGCCTTTGTGAATTGCTCGGCCATAGAAAACTTTAGGTACCCGATGCCATACTATGTCCTTTCACAAATGCTTTCTTTTCACACTTTAGATGACTTTCTGAGAGGAAAACTCAAAATACACTCTTTTAATATACATTAGAGATTAAATATAGGGATCTTTAAAAAAAAACCCAACACCTGTTTTAGAGACTCTTAGAATTTCATCAGTCAATAAGCATTTTAGCCATGCTTCCTGCAAAAGGTGTGCTACAGTTGCCCTTTTCTGCTTTGCAGCCAATCAAATAGGCAAAGGTAGCAAGAAAGGAAGAACTATCCACAGCACACAAATAGCTTTCCTTATGAACAGCATTGCAGATTTATAGGACAATGTGGTCTAAGAACACCAATAGTAAATCGCAGGCAGATACTGGAAATAACTCCATTCTAAGAAATATTTTTTTGCAACCAATCATTCTCCTATATCTGATAGCAACAATGTCCAATTAAGACTCTCTTTTGTGATATAGTAAGCTTTCCCTCTCTCTCTCTCTCTCTCTCCCTCTCTCTCTAAAAAAAATATTTCTTGTCATCTGGCACTAGAAAGGGGTGTTTCAAAACCCCATGAAAAGAAAGATATTGAAAAAATTCCAGCTGAGTTTTTACAGACATAAACTTTGGACAATGTTCAAACAGCCCACAGAATGTCTTGCTTATGTGATCCTTTAATGTTTTTGACCCTTGTCTACTGTGAACCTTTATCTTCTCTGCCTCTTGGCTGCCGAGAGTTTTATCAAGCAATAAATCCAGAAAGCCTATACTTAGTTTCCACCCGTTTTGGAATGCAAGCCAGGTGAAGGTGGTAAAAAAGCGTTTGAGCAACAAGCTGAGGCAGGCGGGCAGGGGGAACCCTAAAATAGCACACGTTTTGTAGTTCTGCCAGCGGGTCAGGGAGGAGATGGGACTGAGTGGTGTGCCAGTTTCGCACTGTGAAGAAGAGGTGGGCCAGGAAGAAGAGAGAAAAGGTGGGCCTCGGGGGCAGGGTGGGAGAGCCAGCAATGCACCAATCTCACCTGAATGCTGCAGGAGGGAAACAGAAGAAGGAATAGGTGTGTAACTGGGAGCGAGGCAAGGAGCCCTTCAGTGCTTTATGATGTTCATGGCTAGTTGCCAACACTCTGGGGGGTTGCGGGTGGGGAGACACTGTTGCTGTGTTTGCATAGACACATGCAGCATCTCAGTCATAGGTGTGAAGGCAATACATTAATTTTTGATAGGGAATTAACACGACATTGTGACTTTTCTCTGCTATTTCCTCACGATGCAGCCTTCTTTTGGATGTGGCCACACAAAGCCACTTTGAGTCAAACTTTCCCCACCCTTGTCTCCACACGATTGCTCAGAGAAACTTTTTCATAGGCCAACTAGGAAATGTATTAAATAATAATAATAATCCGGTGTATGAAAAAATGGCTGGTTAATAGGTGAGAATCTAAAGCTATAATATATTAAGTTAAAGGACTAAGACAAAAACAAAGAGGGAAAGGAATTGCTGAATTAACTAATTGAACTGGAATTCAAAAAAGGGAGGTGAGAGGAGGTCAGGGAAGCAAGGAAATGAAATGAAATGTAAGATATGGAAGGATTAATTTGTTTTTAAGTGTTTTTTCTAAAAAAAAATTTCTATACTTTCTATTTTGTATGTTTTTTCTCTTTTTTTCTATATTTTCCCTTGTCTCTTTTATTTTTAACTATGTAATTTTTTGTTTCTGAGATTTTAATAAATATCATTTTAAAAAATAATAATAATAATAATCCAATGGGTTTTTTTAAAACAACAACAACAACCTGCTGGTTTAAGATCACAAGGATATATTATGCCAGCTCACGCTCCGTAAAAGCAGAAGAGTGGAGACTAAGGCCAATACTTTAAGAAATGTGCCTTGCAATTAGGGATGGGTGGATCTCTCCATTTCTGTTTCCCCATTTCTCAGTTTTTCAATCATAAATTCAATTCTCCACATTAGTGCAAATATCTCCTAATATATACACTTCTATGCAATTTTAGCCCAATAGGCATGTTTTTCGCAATACATTTTCCCTCCTATAATGCAATTCTTGTATGTTATCTTCATAAATATGTGTGTTTTTCTGCACACTTTACCCTAGTATTTGCATTTTTGTACACACCACTTGGCTGACAAACAGTACTGCAAAAGTTGGAGAAGTGTGAATTTTGAAAAGTGGCTTTTTTCCAGTTCATGTATTGTTTGGGGGCATGAATTAGGCAGGTTTCGCCTTGAAATGAACTGAGTATCTTCTCCATCCTTACCTGCCATCAGCAGCGAGGTTGCGCAATGTCACAAACTGTGCTTGCTTACAATTTACCCTCCAAGCTCCCAGACTTTCCTTGGTCTTTCAGGCCCAACTGCAGATGGAGATGATGGAGTACCTGGGACCAGCAAACATAGCTTACATTGTCTTGGGCCTGTATTGCCCCATGAAGCTGCTGAGCCTTTCTGTATTACTAAAGGAATCCACCTGTGCTTTGGGCCATTCATGCTTGCTGCTTACATCAGTAGCTGGCAAAATAGCTTAAGGAGTGGGAGATGTGAGACAATTCCAGTACCAGAGCCTTAATTCTTATCTTAACCCAACGGGTTTTTTGGTCATTGAATTTCCTTGGCTTTTGCAAAGAAAATGTATTAAAATATTATGGTTTGTTAACCATGAAAGTCATTGTTTTGTATCTACTAATTTTGAATATAATTGCACGTTTCCAATTATATGTCCACTTCCATTCACATTCTGAACTCTACACTGCACCGCAGCCTGTTGTGAGGAATACATATAACAGACTGAAATGCAATTAACAGTGTTACAGCATGAAGCTGAACAAAGCTTGGTCTGGAGCCTAACAATAATGTTTATTTTAAGCAGCTAACCATATGCCATTTCTTCTTTTTTTTAAGTTAAAAAGGAAATGAAGAGTTTAAATCCCTTTGTGTTCTGTAGCCTGACATAGACAAACTGGTCCAGTTCTGGGAGCCACTTCCCCAACCAGGGCCAAGAGTTGACAGAGGTACCACTGCCCTCAGGATCACCTGCACACTGCGTTTCACTCTCACTCTCTGCTAAAAATCAGGACACCCACCCCTCCAATTTATTTATTTGGAAAGATGTATAAACCACTTAACCAGAGAGCCTTCCAAGTTGCGTACAACTGCCCCCCTAAATCAGGTAAATCCATAAAAATACTTAACTAATTGACCAGTTGTGTCATAGAAGAAGAAGAAGAAGAAGAAGAAGAAGAAGAAGAAGAAGAAGAAGAAGAAGAGTTTGGATTTGATATCCCGCCTTTCACTCCCTTTAAGGAGTCTCAAAGCGGCTAACATTCTCCTTTCCCTTTCTCCCCCACAACAAACACTCTGTGAGGTGAGTGGGGCTGAGAGACTTCAAGGAAGTGTGATGGCCCAAGGTCACCCAGCAGCTGCATGTGGAGGAGCGGAGACGTGAACCCAGTTCCCCAGATTACAAGACTACCGCTCTCAACCACTACACCACACTGGCTCTCATAAATAACTCGGCTCTGCCCCTCCCTAACATAATGCCTGCATCCCCCATAAATCCTGGCTACGCCCATGGTCAGGCATGTGTGTGTTCCTGCTATCCCCACCACTCAAATAGAGTGACCACTGTATCCTTAGTTCACAAATATTACTGTTACATCACCTACTAGCCCTAGGAGGGAGGGGAATTCATCCAGTCTGACTTGTGACATACTACTCTATAGGCCAGTAAAGCCGCCCGAGTCAGGCAAAAGTGAGCTTCACCGTGATTTGGAGTGAGGAGCAGGTTCATATTCATACTAAATAATACACATTTCACAAAAGCAGGCTTAGTCTTTCATTTTCCTTCTTAATATTGTCAATTTACTGTAAGCAGATGGACTCTTCTTTGCAA